TCTTGCATCATCTCGTGGATCCATCTCCAGTATCTCTTTGTTACATCACAAAGCCACCACATATGATAAAATGTACCTATCTTATTTTTACATTTCCAACATTTATCTGAACAATTTTCATTCTGCTTAGCAAGTTTATCTGGTGTAATATACCATCTATAAAACATCTTATACATATTTTCTTTGTATGATACTGCCTTAGTCATTTAAATATTTTTAGGCTGTTTTATTCGCAATCCCTTTCGTAATCACCCCTAACCTACAGTTTGGCTTTTTCACCACAGCAGTACACTGGGTGGACACTTTCATCGAGCTCTCCACTATGACCCCAAGATCTTTTTCCCTATCAGTCTCAGCCAGTTCAGACCCCACTAGCCCAGACTCGAAGTTGGGATTTTATGCCCCAATGTGCATCGCATTACACTTACCAGCATTGGACTTCATTTGTCACATGGTTGTCCACTCACCCAATTTAGAGAGATCCTCCTGGAGTTCTTCATGGTCAGCCTTGGTTTTCACCATCCTGAATAATTTTGTGCCATCTGCAAACTTGGCCACTACACTACACTACTTACCCCCAATTCCAGATCATTTATGAATAAATTAACTAGTTCCGGCTCCAATACCGATCCCTGTGGGACCCCACTGCTTAGTTCCTTCTGTAGTGAGAACTGACCATGTATTCCTGCCTCGGCGTCTAGTCATGCTGGCCACATGACCACAGAGATGTCTTCAGACAGCGCTGGCTCTTCGGCTTGGAAAAGGAGATGAGCACTGCATCCCTAGAGTCGGATTTGACTGGCTTTTGAGTAAGGGAGACCTTTACCTTTACCTGTAGAGCTCATACCCATGACCATGACTGTAATCCCATAGATCTTCCCCATTCTGCTACATTTCTGAGATACTTACTGTATCTGGGACTTAATTATTTAAGTCGGTTTCCTTTGAAATAAGGTCTGCAACATCCATATATATATATTTAATTTCTTAAAATAATGCTAAGGAGACTTTTGCTACTAGACGGAACCTTCCCTTATCACCTTGTAATATGGAGGCGATAAAGTTGCATTGTGATAGTCGATTCACAAAATGACTTGAAAAAATGATTAGGGTCTGCAGAGCCTGTTTGGTGTCGTGGTTAAGTACGCAGACTCTGATCTGGGAGAACCAGGTTTGATTCCCCCACTCCTCCACTCGCAGCTGCTGGATGACCTTGGGCAAGCCGTAGTTCTGATAAGAGCTGTTTTTGAAAAAAAGAGCAGTTTCTGTCAGAGCTCTCTCAGCCCCACCCACCTCACAGGGTGTCTTCTGTTGTGGGGAGGGGAAGGGAAAGGAGTTTATAAGCTGCTCTGAGACTCCTTCAGGTAGTGAAGGGCAAGATATAAGTCCAGTCTCTTCTTCTATGCAGCTTTGTACAGCTTGCTGAAATTAGGATCCTACTATTGCATTTTGCATCATTTAATGTGTCACATTAAGACTTAGGCTTTGCTTCAGTTCTGTATTTAGACTTCTGATTGGTTCTGCAACCCTAATCTGATTGCACTGCTTCTTGAACGCCCAATCCTGTCGATTGCATTGACCCCCTCTGTGTCACCCCCCTTGAGTCCCAGTGTGAAAAGCGGACCATGAACAAAGTAAAATAAAATGAATAAATATATTCCCCAAAGAGCACTTCGGTCAGGGTCACAACACCGGCTGGTGACCCCAGGCCCCAAGGAGGCCAGGCTCGCGGCATCGAGGGCCAGGTCCTTTTCAGTGGCGGCCCCTACCTGGTGGAACGAGCTCCCGGAGGAGATCAGGGCCCTGCGGGACCTTGTGCAGCTCCGCAGGGCCTGCAAGATGGAGCTTGTTGGGAGTTTTTAGTCGTGCTCCGATGGAATTGAATTTTAACTGGTTTATCTATATTGAATTTTAACTTTTATATATTGTATGCACTTTGTGCCTGTGTAAGCCGCCCCGAGCCCGTTTGCAGGGAGGGCGGGGTATAAATATGATAAAATAAATAAATAAATAAAAAATAACTCGGGCCAAGAAAACGGAGGTACTGCCGCATGTCTCTAACAGTGCAGTTGGGGGCGGGAGGGGGCGCGCCTTGCAGGCGGGTGTTCTGAAAGGGTTTCTTCTCTGCTCCCCCTTTTCTCTTTTGCAGGCCGCCAAGTACAAGCTGGCTGCTCTCCCTGTGGCGGGCGCGGTCATCGGTGGCATCGTGGGGGGCCCGATCGGACTCCTGGCGGGTTTCAAGGTGGCCGGAATCGCAGCCGCGCTTGGCGGGGGATTGTTGGGCTTCTCCGGCGGGAAGCTGATTCAGAGGAAGCGGCAAAAGACGATCGAGGACATCTCTTGCAGCTGCCCCGACCTTCCCAGACGGGACGACGGGCAGCCCACCTGAAAGGTGGCCGCCTCGACCCAGTGAGAGTGGCCGGCATACTGACCTCGCTTTGAATGTATCTCGGATCCCTGCGAGCAGGAAGGATCCGCGTTTTCTCCTGTCTGGGAACCGGGAAGGATCGTCCCGAAAGACTTTTCCCGACGGACCGCACCAGCGCCTTCGTCCTGAGCGCCAAGGATTACACGTTTCAGTTTAACGTTATAGTAAAGGAAGGTCGTGGAGAGTTTTCCGGATTACCCTCACCCTATCTTTTAAAGTGTTTTTACAGCATTCACAAAATGCCTTTTTCCCCCCTGGAAAATGGAAGGGATTTTAAGACAATATTGTCGGGAGTCTGTGCCTTGGTGTTTCAGCGATTCAAAACACTTTGTGCAACTCAGGTGTCCAGAGATGCCTTTTGCATGACGAGGACTCGATACGTCCAAGGCTCTCTGCGCTCGGGCCCCGGGGAAGGCGCAAGAGAGGTGGGCCCTGGGGGGGTTGGTTGACGCTCACCCTCTTGGCTTTTGTTAGAGACCTCCTGAGTAGGTTGGCAGTGACAATCCACTCCCTTTCCCCCCAAACACTGCTGTTTTTTGCAATTTTTTAAAAAGAACAGAGTCAGGTTAGACTCTGGCTCTGTTTAAAAGTGTTACTTCAAGAGGGGGAAAACCCACACTCTTGCTTTGTAAATAAATTCAGCCTGTTTGCAAACCCCCTTTTTACCGACTGAACCAGAGTTTAAAGGATCCCTACGGGTCAAATGCCGGCTGTTGGGACAGGAGACTGCATTTTGGGTTTTCTGAACTCCCTTTCCCCACCTTCGTTGACTGAGAACTGACAGGAGACGAGGAAACCTCGGCCAAAGACAATGCTGTGCCAACCAAAGCCCCTTGTTCGGTCGACCTAGTCTGTCATGCGGCTTCGATAATCTTCGGAGATGACCCCTGAGTAAGAAACTGACGGTTCTGAGTTCCCCGGCTGACCGGGATTGCAAAATGGTTTAATAAAACAAACCATTGTTTTCTTCTTTTGACTGGAGTGGAGCATCGCAGTTGTGTTTTGTTCATCCCTGCTTCCCTTTGAGCCATCCCTCGGCCTGGCTCTCCGCTCTTTTTTGCGACATGTGAACTCAGCTCGGCAATGATAAGGGAGGCAGCGACACGGGGCCTGAGTGCGAGGAGACGCAGGGGTGCGTGCCCCCTTGCAATGAGCAGACGGTGGCCATTTGACGGGGCAGTCTGGCGCCCCCTGATGGCTGTCTGTCCAGACATCATCAGGAATGTTGTGGGATGGCCGGCGTACCGGCTGAGATGGGGTGTGCGGAGGTCATTCAGTGGTGGGTTTGTGTGCCGGAGCAGTTGTGGGATCGCTTTGGTGTGCCTCTGGCCCACGCTGCTCACACTGCTGAAGAACTTTCAAAACCGTGTGGCTGGCGTGGCAGGAAGTGTGAGTCGTTTCAGCAGGTGGGCGGCCGCTGACTTGGAGTCACGTCTTTTTGTTTTGTCGGTCCCCGTGATTATGCCGCCGTGAATGTGCCTCGTTCTGTTTCCGAGTTCCGTTCAAGGTGCTGGTTAAAGCCCTTTGTGATCGCACTCTTGAAGGACTGTCTCCATCCATGTATGGAGTCCATCAGCCAATCAGTTTGGCGTCGTGGTTAAGTGCGCGGACTCTAATCTGGAAGAACCGGGTTTGATTCCCCACTCCTCCACTTGCACCTGCTGGATGACCTTGGGCAAGCCAAAGGTTCTGATAAGAGCTGTTCTTCAAAAAGGGCAGTTTCTGTCAAAAAGGGCAGTTTCCTACCTCCCAGGGCGTCTGTTGTGGGAAGGGGAAGGAGTCTGTAAGCCGCTCTGAGACTTCTTTGGGTAGTGAAGGGTGGGGTATAAATCCAATCTCTTCCTCTTCTTCTTCATCAAGGCCAGTATTGTCTCCTCAGACTGGCAGCAGCTCTCCAGGGTCTCAGGCCGAGAATGGACTTTCTCATCGCCAACTGCCTGGTCCGTTTGGCTGGAGATGCCGGGGATTGAACCTGGGACTTCCTGCATGCCGAGCAGAGGCTCTGCCACTGAGCCACAGCCCCTCTTTACAGTTCTCCAGGGTCTCAGGCAGAGGTCTTTCACATCACCTACTTTCTGGTCATTTTCACTGGAGATTCTGGGGATTGAACCTGGGACCTTCTGCATGCCAAGGAGAGGCTCTGCCACTGAGCCACAGACCCTCTTTACAGCTCTCCAGGGTCTCAGGCGGAGGTCTTCCACATCACCTACTGCCTGGTCCTTTTTAACTGGAGATGCCGGGGACTGAACCTGGGACCTTCCGCATGCCAAGCAGAGGCTCTGCCACTGAGCCATGGCCCCTCTTCACAGCTCTCCAGGGTCTCAGGTGGAGGTCTTTCCCATCACCTTCTGCCTGGTCCTTTTAACTGGAGATGCCGGGGACTGAACCTGGGACCTTCTGCATGCCAGGCAGAGACTCTACCACTGAGCCACAGCTCCTCTTTACAGCTCTCCAGGGTCTCAGGCAGAGGTCTTTCCCATCACCTGCTGCCTTGTCCTTTTTAACTGGAGATGCTGGGGACTGAACCTGGGACCTTCTGCATGCCAAGCAGGTGCTCTGCCACTGAGCCACAGCCCTTCTTTACAGCTCTCCGGGGTCTCAGGCAGGGGTCTTTCCCATCACCTTCTGCCTGGTCCTTTTAACTGGAGATGCCGGGGATTGAACCTGGGACCTTCCGCATGCCAAGCAGAGGCTCTGCCACTGAGCCATGGCCCCTCTTCACAGCTCTCCAGGGTCTCAGGTGGAGGTCTTTCCCATCACCTTCTGCCTGGTCCTTTTAACTGGAGATGCCGGGGACTGAACCTGGGACCTTCTGCATGCCAGGCAGAGACTCTACCACTGAGCCACAGCTCCTCTTTACAGCTCTCCAGGGTCTCAGGCAGAGGTCTTTCCCATCACCTGCTGCCTGGTCCTTTTTAACTGGAGATGCTGGGGACTGAACCTGGGACCTTCTGCATGCCAAGCAGGTGCTCTGCCACTGAGCCACAGCCCTTCTTTACAGCTCTCCGGGGTCTCAGGCAGAGGTCTTTCCCATCACCTTCTGCCTGGTCCTTTTAACTGGAGATGCGGGGGACTGAACCTGGGACCTTCTGCAAGCCAAGCCACAGCCCCTCCACAGTAACGCACGTGAAGCTGTGTTCTACTAAATCAGACCATCAGTCCCTCATATTCAGTATTGTCTACTCAGACTGGCAGCACCTCTCCAGTGTCCCAGGTGGAGGTCTTTCACATCACCTGCTGGCTTGTCCTTTTTACCTGGAGGTGCTGCCAGGAGTTGGACCTGGGACCTTCTGTGGGCCAAGCAGACTCTCTACCACTAGCCCTTTCACAAAATTAGCTCTATCAGACTGCCTTTACCTCCACTGAGAAAAATATCCATGTATCCCTAAGCTTGACCCAGTGGGGATAAAAGTGGTTTGTGGGTGGCTGTTATCAGTGGGGATTGGGTGTGATGGGACAGGGTGAAAAAGCCCTTCAGTCTCTTCCCCCTTCGAATCACAGATTCAGTAGCTGCATTTTGTAAATAAATAAAAATGAAAAAACTAATTCGCTGTGATGTTGGAGCTTTCCAAATTAGAAAAAGTGTAATGACGACTGAGGGGGGACATGATTGAGGTTTATAAGATTATGCGTGGGATAGAGCACGTAGAGAAAGAGGTGCTTTTCTCCCTTTCTCACAATACAAGAACTCCTTGTGGGCACTCCATGAAATTGCTGAGCGGTCGGGTTAGAACAGATAAAAGGAAGTCCTTCACCCAAAGAGTGATTAACACATGGAATTCACTGCCACAGGAAGCATGGATGGCTTCAAAAGGGAATTAGATAAACATCTGGAGCAGAGGTCCATCAGTGGCTATTAGCCACAAGGTATAGGTAGGAACTCTTGGTCTGGGGCAAGGGATGCTGTGTATTCCTGGTCCTTGGGGGGTGGGGGGCAACAGTGGGAGGGCTTCTAATGTCCTGGCCCCACTGCTGGACCTCCTGATAACACCTGGTATTTTTGGCCAGTGTGTGATAGAGTGTTGGGCTGGATGGGCGTTTGGCCTGATCCAACATTGGTGTTTCTTATGTTCTTATGTGTACAGAAAGAGAATGTTTTACCCCGTCTCCCAAAATACTAGAAATTGGGTAAAGGTAAAGGTTTCCCTTGCTTGAAAGCCAGTCAAATCCAACTCTAGGATGCTGTACTCATCTCCGTTTCCAAGCCGAAGAGCCAGCGCTGTCTGAAGACATTTCCGTGGTCATTTGGCTGGCATGACTAAATGCTGAGGTGCACGGAACGCTGTTACCTTCTCACCAAAGCGGTACCTATTTATCTACTTGCAATGTCTTGCTTTCGAACTGCTAGGTTTGACAGGAGCTGGGACCAGAGACGGGAGCTTGCTCCGTCATGTGGCACTCGGGTCTCGAACTGCTGAACTGCTGACCTTCCAGTTGCAGTTCATACAACCTATCTAATTATAAAACCTTTATCCAACGCTTTTCCCTTCAGAAGGACCCAGAGTGGTTTACAATAAAAGTTAAACCCCCAATTTCAGTAACAGAATATTGAAACAATAAAATGCAGGAAACCAAAGCAAGAGAGAAACCAACTTGGCTGCTATCAGCCACCCTCTTAAACAGCACCCTCTCGTGTCTCTGATCGGCTGACCCAGAACACTGAGGCCACCACCATAAGAGGCCCAGACCAGTCAGCAGCAGTTCTTGCAGACCGGCAGGAAGGGACAGACAGAATGTTAGACTTGGAAGGGACCTTGCAGTTCATCTAGTCGAACCCCCTGCACTCTGCAGAAGCATAGCCAAAAGACAGCCCTACAACATACCCCAAAGATGGGCATCCAGCCTCCACTTGAAAACGTCCAGCAAAGGAACATCCACCACCCCCTGAGGCAGTCTGTTCCACTGCTCAACCACTCTGACAGGAAGTTCCTCCTGATATTTAGCTGGTATCGACTCCCTTGTCATTTCCACCCATTAGAACTCATCTTGCAATCCGGAGCAAGAGAGAATAGATCTGCTCCATCTTCTACATGACAGCCCTTCAAATACTTGAAGATGGCAATCATGTCCCCTCTAAGCCGCCTCTTTCCCAGGCTAAACATACCCAACTCTTCAGCCTCTCCTCTTAAGACTTGGATTCCAACCCTCTAACCATCCTGGTTGCCCAAAACTGGACACAGGACTCCAGGTGAGGCCTGACCATAGCAGAATGGAGCGGAACGACCCCCTCCCGTGATCTGGACACAAGGCTTCTGTTAATGCATCCTAAGATTGCATTTGCTTTCTTCACAGTCACATCATACTGCAGGCTCATGTTTAGCTTGTGATCCACCAGAACACCCAGATCCCTTTCACATGTGCTGCTGTCAAGCCAAGTCCCTCCCATTCTATATCTATGCCTTTGATTTTTTGTACCTAAGTGTAGAACTTTGCACTTCTCTGTATTGAAATTCATTTTATTTGTCTCTGCCCACTGTCCCAGCCTATCTAGATCATTTTGAATCCTGACTCTGTCTTCTTCAGGATTAGCAATCCCACCCAGCTTCTTGTCATCTGCAAAATGAGTTTGACACATCTGGTCTAGACCTATTTGAATTTGTACGAAGGGGGGCTGACGTAAGTCTGGAAAGCGATTGAGCTGACTTCCTCCCTCCCAGCCTGTTCTCTGCCCAAAGGGATTTTAAAAGAAAATAAAACCTCAAAAGTTTTGCTCATTTTAAACCTCCAGAAAAAATATGGAGTTCTTCACAGCCCTAAGAAATGCTTGAGCATCTGCTTTCTACACCGATGGAAACTTCAAGGGCTGCCCCAGTGATGATAACAGGTAGTAGATTCAGGACACACAAAATAAAGCGCTTCATCCAATGCATCCTTAGTGGTGGAAAGTTCCGTCAAGTCACAGCTGACTTACGGCAACCCCGTACTGTGTTCAAGGCAAGAGGTGTTCAGAGGT